TAAAGGTGATTCACGAAGACACCGAGACCAAGGCCCGATTGCTCGAGCAAGGGCAAAGGCGCTCGTGTTGGCTTTGGAGGGAGACGGGTCGGCATAGCTAGGCCACGCACCAGGACACTGTACCACCCTTCGGCCTAGCGTTCGGAAGAGGGGGGGGGGGGGGCGACATAAAGTAAGGGTTCGCCGCGGGCGCAAGGTGCTGTTGGCGAAGTCCGAACGAGCCCCACAGGGAGCTGACGGACGGAAAGGAAAAGAAAAGCGTGCTTATCCCAATGTCGTCCCCAGAAAACCCTCTCTCTACTCCTGACGCGCGCGCAAGGCCTCGCGGGAGCCTCCGTGCGCGGCGCCAGAGTCAACATTTGCTACCGGGTGAGTGGGTTAACCGCCACTCCGCACTCCCAGCGCGGCAGACAGTGGAGGAGGGGAGGCATTTCGGGACATGAGAACGGAGAAAGAGGCAGCAAAGCCCGCGCAAAGGCAGTGGGCCGGCCTCAATTCCCACAAGACGCACATGCAGAATATATATGTGTTGTTATGGTGCCCCAGATATGCACAATAATTGCCTTTTAATTGAAAATTGCACAAGCATGAACACTCAACCTTGTGCCACATAGGTGGGCGCTACGAATGGCGTCGGCCGTTTCAAGTACCAGATGCCGTTAAAATTGGACAAGCAGACAAATGTACAAACAGACAGACAGAGCAAAATTTTTGCGTTGAAGGTCCCTAAGAAAGACTATCATCTTTAAAAAAATCCGCTACACAACTTAACAAATATGACAACGCATGTCTCTACATAATGTCCATGCACCACAATACCGCCGTATGTCTGGGACCTCCTTTTGCATACTAAACACATGTCACATTCTTGTATTCGTATTAATTAAAAATCTGAAATCAGTCGACACTGCTGCGCTGTCCAGCTCGACGACTTCGCCTCAGTACCAGTCCCGCAACAGCAACGTTGCCATCGGCGCGGCGAACCATCACTAGCGTCGACTCATCGTCCGGTGCAACCAGCACTCACGAGGGCGCCAGACTGCAGGCAGTTGCGCAGGTCTCAGGCATGTCCATCGCCCGATCTCATGACCGTACTCCTGGCCAGCGGCGCTGACGATGTGCAAAAGACAGCCAGCCATGGGTTGCATCCCTCCTGCTGCACGCATTCCAAACACTCAAACTCGAAAGAACAATGCAGTAAGCCAAAGGGAAAGGAGCTTCGGGCTCCTAGCCCACGTGGTACGATGGTCAGTACTGCTAGCTAATACATCGGCGGGGGCGGAGACGCCCAGCTAAAATAAAACAAAAGTCGGTTTTCCTAACTAGTGCACCGCAAGATAAAAAAAAAAGAGAGAAGCAGGCTGCAACACCTCAACGCCACGATCCACCTAGTTGTGCCACATGCGGCAGGCGGCTGCGCAGAGGATTAGGCCTAATTAGTCGCTTGACAACAACTGGCATCCAACCAGCACCCAGCCTAGGCGCAGATGAGGCAGCCACAAGGACACATCCACTCTGTAAGGTGGCCCCATCGCTCGCTGCACACAGCAGCTTACCGAAAGATCAGCGTTGAGCCGCAATACCAGACAGCAACGTCGCCCGGCTCCCTGAGCCCAAAAAGATAGAAGCTATTTACAGAAAATCGGACTACATACGAGGCTTCTGTACTCACTCGCTTTGGGCCTGGCCTGCTATCCTGCGGTAAGCTTTTCTCATCTCAGGATGCAGACTGCATGGCTCTCGTCCCAACTGAACAACGTTCTTGAGAACCAATGACAACAGACTAAAAAAAACACTTCTGAGCAGAAAAAAAACAACCAAACGTGCCGACAAGTTAAAACACATCAAAACAACCGATCTTCCTGCTCTCAACAAAGCACACCGCCAATGCTAGGATAGAAGTTCCCCTAGGCCTACTCTACCCCAGCTCTAACAAAATGGCTCTTCCGAACCGTGAAAACTGTCGTCCGATGCTGCAAGAGTTCCACGTCTGGCAGCCAGTGTGGGGTCTTGTAATGGCGAGCACTACGCCACCTACTACCCAGTAGTTGTAACCCGAAATGGGACTTATGTGCGAAACACATTCGCCACGCGACGCAAACAACTTCCTAGGGGGTGTCAGCACCCCCACAAAGTTCACTCCATTGCCGCGCCTTACAGACATAAATTTGGTAACACTTGAAATTGGGAATGATGGAGCTTTGGCAAGGTAACGTTCATGTGCAGCGTCAACACACCCTGCTCTCTAGAGTCTAGCCTTTACTCGGAGCTTGCAACCACGTTCTGTTCGTTTCCGACGTGTAACTTTAACAACATGTTTTGTGGAGAATATTGCACGAGCAAAAGTGTGTCGCACTTTACATTGTGCAGCGTAGCAAGGGCACTCGGGTATGGTGGCGCCTTCTCAAATCACAATGTGCGTAACAGGTAGGCAACTGGTAGGTCCCGCAACCGTGTCGTCCTAGCAAAGTGTTGAAAACACTTGCTTTTTCGTGCAAGTGTTGCATGGTCAGTGCAGCGTTATAAAGGCTATGACCCTTAAAGTTACTTATGTATGCCTTTTCTAGTAAGAGACACACAGACAGAATATTGACGTGTTATTATGGTGCCTCAGATATGCCCAGTGATTGCTTTTTAACTGACAATCGCACAAGCATGAACGCTGAATCTTGAGCAATATTGGTGGGCGCTGCGGATGGGTCGGCCGTTCAGAGTATCGTTTGGCAGCTTTGGTACTGTTTGAAACAAACAGACAAATGTGCAGACAGACAGACCAAAATTTTTGCGTTTAATGTCCCCAAGAAAGACTATCGTCTTCAAAAAAAAAAAAGCAAGCTCCACACTGCACTGGAGGACCCAAGGCCTCTAGACACTAATCACGCTACAATTTTTCAGTATTGCAGGGATAACAGAAAACTGTATCCAACACCCAACACCGCATAGAACCTCGCAGCAATGGAATCTGCAGCCTTAAGCAGACTCCAGACAAACACATACAGGAACTTACACAGGCGACATGTATGGTATTCTACCCCGGAGCATACAAAGATATGTGTATGTCCGTGATGCGGAACCACACGAACTCTGTTTCACATTACGTGGGAGTGTACACTTCACTATGAAAAACAGCACAACATGAATAACACAGAGGAAAATTTGCAGGCACTGCTCTCCAGCTCGGCCTTTGATTATCAGCTTTGGGTGGTCCAATGGGCAGAGAAGATGGCAAGGGCAACAGAGACCTGAAATAGGGCTTGACTATTTGCAATGCTCCGTGTTATGCGCAAATAAAGTATCTCTCTCTTCAAAAGAAACAGCTCCGGCTTACAGCTTGCGTTTTCGCATTACGTAGGCATACCGTAATTACTCGAATCTAACGCCCACCTTTTGTCCAGTTAAGCGAGTTCATAAATCGCATGCGCGTTAGAATCGAGTACGAACAAAAAAATTACGGTCAATCTATTGCCATCGGCAAATCCAAACTGGCCGCCCCCTACGTGCGTCGGCATGGCGCGTCGGCCATTTCTGCCTATGTGTTTCCCATGTGCGGCACTTCATACGTGTGCTGAGGAGTTCGTCATCTAGTAGTGCATTAGCATCGACGGCGTGGAAGGGCCGACTCCAAAAACTCGAGTGCACCACGATGCCGTTTTTAAAAGAAACGTCATCGCGTGTGCAGAAACGGACAGAAATCGGGCCGCATCGCGGTCGTTCGGAGTTCCCGAAACGTGCGTGCGGGACCGGCGGAAACAAAAGCAGAAGATTGTTGACAGCAAAGCTTCACGCAAAGGCTTCAGTGGACCACAGCAGGGTCGTTTTGCGCAAATTAAAGAGCTGCTCGGCGAGTATGTGCTTGAGCAGTGAGCGGCACAGCGGCTCGTGACGACAAAACTGCTCCAAGTGTGGGCTATGCAATTACTCTTAGAAAAAGGTCTAATGCAGAGCCAGTTTAAAGAGAGCAGGGCTGGCTAACTAACTTTATGAAGAGGAAAGGCTTTTCCCTCCGAAGGGGAACATGCATACGCGAAAAGTTTTGCGGAAGAGTACGATGAAAAGCTTCAGTTTTCAGAGGTTCGTCCTAAACTTGCGGCGCAACAACGGCTACCTGCTTGGGCAAATCGGGAATAAAGGACAGTGTGGCCGAATTCACAATGTTTGCGAAGTTCTAATTGCTGGCTGCTCCGGGGATTAGCACACTTGGACTGCTGGCAGAGTTCTTGGCTGTAATGCCTACTTTGAAAACTAAGTTTGAAAGCTGCATTATTCATATTGTCCAGCCAGAAACACATAGCGAATTTTTTCCCCTGGACATCATTAATAAATTCCTTATTTTAATAGAAAGAATTGACGAATCATCACGTCTTGACACGCTGACCTAGTGAGAAGCAGGCAACGTGCTGCCTGATTGCCACCACTGTGTTTCAGCAAAGATGTCTTATCTTTCGCAGACACAGATTTTAGTTAATCACAACTTTCTTTTTCTTTTTTTTTTTGTTTTTGTGTGACAGCAGCCAGGCTTACCTGTTTGCAGGAAAATTGGTACCAAATATTGCTGGAAAACTTTACCCTTGGAGCCCGAAGCTGGCCGGCGCAACAGACGACCAGCCCTGCTTACTTTGAATAATTCCAAATTCTTTGCATCCTGCTTTTTGTAAGTTCCAGTAATTTGAAAACCCACTTAATTCGAATATTTCACACAGCCCGAGTCACTTCAAGTTAACTAGGTTTCACTGTACCAAAATTGGTCAAAGGAAATGTGAGTGCTCTTCTGCCGGATGTTTACCACTGCATTAGATTCCTTCTTGAATGTGAGAGATCTCATAGTTTTCTTTTTGAATTGATTCGTGTACTACTTCTCAGCTGTGAAATGTTTCTGGCCATTAAAACGTGTTACAGTATGGTTTTTTGTAATCGATAAAGAGAGAAATGCTTTCATTTGCTAGACGTGTCACACAACACATGGAAATCAGTACACGCAAAACATTTCTGGATGCATGCAGGCAGTGGGGACGTGCTCAGTTGGGAGGATGCTGAGAAACGGCTGTCCGAGACATCTGTCAGTGGTCTGATGATTGCCAGGTAAGTTCAGTTCATCCTAGAAGAGGGGAGTTTTCATGGAGCCATTTTCAAAAAAAAAAAAAAAAAACATCTATTTCAACATCCTACTTGTGGGAGTCAGTCATTTCGCACTAAGCAACAGAAAATGTCGGTATTTTACTTTGCTTGAATGCATGGTTCTTAAAACTGCGGGCTTTGTGGGCGTCTTTAGGGCTTTCTTTTTTTGTACACACGACTGTTATGGTGTCATAAGCGTGCACTCAGGTAAGATAATGGATCTGAAAATAGCAGAATTACCTGTGTGTAGCCAAGGTAATAGGCCTGCTGTCAAATAATTTGAGGAAAGAATACAGGATCTTAGCAGCTGTAAGGTGCATTTTATGGCCTAACTTCAAGTGAAAAATCAATTTGAAGAAATCATGCTATGTTAATGAGTAAATTTATTTTAAACAAAGGTGTTACAAAACAGCTCAGACAAGCACAGTTGACTCACAATAATTCAAAGTATCATAATTCAAACTTTCGGTGAACATAGTGAGTGTTGAATTTTTTTAGAAAAACTTTCGCAGATGGTCAAAATACTTTATGGCGGTTTTTGAATGTATGAAATGTGTAAATAAAAAAAATTGGCCTGCTAAAAAGAATCACGTGTGGATGCAAAGCAGCGGGGAGATGGTGGATAACACCCACAGAGGCTTGTCTACATCACCCTAAGCAGATGCACCAACATTCAGAACCTCTACCTGACTAACCCTATCGTTAACCATTACTTGATGCCGGTGACCACTGCTGTGAATGCAGCCGGTCCTTAAAACGCACAAGCCAGATACATTGAAAGTGATTCCATGCTAACCAAAGAAGATGGGCTTGTTGACTTTAGCAGGTGCATTTTTATCTAAAACCCAGGCATGCGCATGCGCTTTAACTTGTCAGCTCACATCAGTGTATATTGTCATGGACAAAGAATCACAGACAAAGAATGAACAGAGTTGTTTGGGGTGCTGAGTCGGTATAGTTACTTCGTGGTCTTGCGGCTCTTCGATTTAGTTCAGCAGGGCATGGCAACGGATACAACATTTGGCTATGAGTGATGAAATGACCGAAAACTGAAGCAATGAGCGTACACCAACTGCATGAGTTCCTGCCCATGCCCGGGAAGCCTGCCTTTCCGTAGATGCAGTGGCACCGCCTTTTTTTGAATTATTTTCTGGTATCGGGGAGGGGCGTCCACCCATCTGCTTGCCATAAAGCTTTGTTGTTGCACTGCTTGGGGGGGGGGGGGGGAAACTTAGCGATTGTACTATGCATTACCCATACAGCGGGAAGCGAAGAAAGCAGCTCAAGCGACGAGCACGATGCAGCAGTGCCTATGTTGGACGCTTACTTTACTTCTAAAACGAACGTTGACATAGAACGGCACTGGTTCAGACAGCGCACCCAACTACCGAGGGAGACGACAGCAGCATTCGTCACGGCACTGCGCAAGTCGGCATTGACCTGCAATTTCGGCGAGCAACCTAATGACTTCATTCGTGACCAAATTGTAGCGAAAACGAGCAACCATTTTCTTTGGGAACGTCTACTTCTGGAAGGAATTTTGCTTACGCTTGAAGGTGTGTTAGGTGTGTTATCTCGAACAACATTGAAGAAGCCACGAAATACTCACTTGAGCTACAGTCATAACCTGCGAGCATCCAAACGGGGGATCATATGCCATCCTGTATAGCACGAATGTCGTTGCCGCAGCACAATGCTTGTCTTCGTAGCGGGTTGTCATGGCATCTCGCAGATTCCAAAACATGCAAGGCATGGGATAAAACATGCAGCAAATGGGGACGTTTCCTGTGTGTATGTCGGAGGAGCATGCCAGACGAGCGGGCATTTGCTTTCCGAGAGGTTGATGCCTGCAATACATCCGAAGACCCCAGCGTGTTGCTTCTCGCCCGCCAGAACAAAACAGCAATACATGTGGACGCTTTCGTGCAGAAAGTGCCTGTACGTCTCCTCACAGACACAGGCTCTGCTGTATCGATTCTATCGGCCATTAAACTTTAGCGACAGAGTACTATTTTTCTTGCCGCATAATAAGCATTGAGGGGTGTTTTTACGGTGCCAGTCGTCTTCTAAGGTCAGCAAGTGGTACCGACATCCTCGGCATCGACGCTATTAAGGCTCTGCGGCTGCAAATCAATGGTATGCCACTGCAATGCACAAACATTACGCAAGTGCCAGAAAGCCTTGATCCTGAACTTTTCTGTGAATTTTCAACCTTGTTGATGGAAAGTTTGCGCTAGCAGCAAATTTCTTTCATAAGGCCAAGATAAGACAAGGGGTCACTACTGTCACTGCTAAATTGCGCAGTATGCCATTTACTTTGCGATGGGTGGTGCGTGAAGAGCCGCAGCACCTTGAGCAGAATGATGTGATAGTAGAAAAGGTAGATGTGTCAGAGTAAGTATCGTCAATTGTAGTAGTGGCAAATAAAAATAGCAAGATAAGAGTTTGCGTCGATCTACATGAACCGAACAAAGTCGTTGTCATTGAGAAATTTTCATTGCCTCACACGGAAGAACTGCTGCACTAACTTCACGGTTCAAAGTATTTTTCCAAGATTGATTTAGTAGTCGCTTACGTATCACGTCCTGCTAAGTCCTGAAAGTAGAGAATTGACTACCCTCATAACTGATAGTGGATTGTATCGAAGGCATGTGCTTTGGCTTTGCATCAGCACTATCTGCTTTTCAGAAAATGATTATAACCATCCTGCAGAAGTGTAAAAATACTGTCTGCTACATAACTGACATGATTGTGTTTGTTAACACACCTGAGGAGCATTTCAAGAACCTGATGCAAGTGTTGCTGCAAAGTCTGGATTGAAGCTGAATGACAAATGTATTTGCAATGTTCAATAAATATAATTCCTTGGGCACATAATAAGTTACCAGGGTATGCAGCCACTACAATGCAACATTGACGCCGTCAAGGCTGCACCAGCACCAACAGATATCTCTACCCTGCGCTCATTCTAAGGCATGGTTGGCTATTACGCGAAGTTCATACCTGACTATGCAGTGCTTGTCGAGCCTGTTCGTGAGCCCTTACCTAAGAATTCTGCATTCACTTGGAATCCTGCCAGACAAGCTTGTTTCGAGCAGCTGAAAAGTTCTTTGTCCTGTTTACAGCTTTTTGATTTTGTGGGGGACATTATCGTTACCACGGACGCCTCATCTATTGGGCTAGGAGCAGTGTTGCAGCAAACAAGAGATGATGAGCCAGTAACAATTTCATTTGCTGCTTGCAGGCTTACCCCACAGGAACAGAAGTACTTCGTTAGAGAACTGGAAGTCCTTGCATGCCTGTGGGCATGCGAACACTGCAGAGCGTACCTTTTGGGCCATCCATTCAGTCTGCGTACCGACCACCAGGCTCTGACTACACTCCTGAGTACAATGGGAGTAGGTCGCCATCCGTTCCGAATAGCAAGGTGGCACCCAAGACTATTGGTGTACAACTTCACAATTGCATTCCAAAAGGGTGACAAGAATGTGGTTGCTTATGCTATTTCAAGGATGCCTCTCTAAGTTAAGGTAGTGGAGGAAGAGACTGGGAGACTGTTTGTGTGGTCTCACTATCCATTACCTATGGGTAGTTTGTCGCTGAAATAATGCAAGACCAGCTGCTGCAACAGGTCATGAAGTGGGTGACTTCGACATGGCCTGCAGCGAAGATGGTGCCTGCTGATGCAGTTCCATTCTACATTGTGCGGACTGAGCTCTCAGTCGTTGCAGACCTCCTACTTCGTGGAGATAATTTCGTCGCACCATCATCTCTCGTAGAACGACTTGACACAGCCAACGAGTCTCACCCAGGAATAACTATGACAAAGCAGCGACTACGTGAGCAATACTGGTGGCCTGCTATGTGCGAACAAGTAGAAAAGTTAATTGCATCTTATGGTCTATCAGTTGACAAGTCTGCAAAACCAGTGACACCACCATTGCAAACTTAACTGAGTTCAATATTGTCTGGTTTGAATCTACCAGAAATGACTGATCACTAATAAGCCCACCATAAAGCATCAATTAGCATTGAAAAACTGTGCACACAAATGTGTACACGCGACTGACACACGTTTGGCATTTCTGTACACTCACCTGCACCGAGTTTCATTGTACAGTGCTGCCACTTCCACCATTCATAGCAAAGATTGCCTGGGGGGAAACAAAAGGGAGAAAGAAAGAAATGGCTTGGTCTTGGCCTATTGCTGGCCAAATGTTTTTTAAACCACTTTTGCTGCACTACACTTGTGCCGTGCCAAAAAAGTGCCAACATTTGGAAGTGGCTACAAGCTGTCCCAGGACAAAGCAGGCTCTGACCCTTATTATTGCGCGTGTATACATATGCCATGTAAGTAAATAGTGCTGGTATGATTGCTGAAATTTGAAAACATAAGTAGCTGTTATTCAAAGTGGTGTATGATGTTTCTGCAGCACTAAGAAACAATAAGCATTTCAAGACAAGTTGGCATGTTTTCCCAGGTCATATTTTATTTATGAGAACTTGTGATAATTAAAACAAAATCCCATGGATATTGGTTGATTGAGAAAGTCGGAAAAAAAATATTCTATCAGAAATTATGAGCAGCTGTGCATCACAGAAGATGTGCCACCGCCAGTATTTTATATCATTGCACATTTACACTCGTTGCATGCCATGGCATGGCTATATCAATGCCACATTTTGTCATTACATGTGACAGAGCAAAGGTTCGTTAAGGGGGTGGTAGAATTGAAGTGGAATCACTTGGGCCACAGGGTCATCGCAAGGTACTGCCTTCCTTTGGGTCCAAAAAAGCTCACCAGGTGTAGCTAGCCAGGTGTGCTAGGACTGATGCATTTTTTCTTGTGTTTTCAACAGGGGGGCCCTGATCAAGCCTTGGATCTTCACTGAAATCAAGGAGAAGAGGCATTGGGACATCTCCTCCTCGGAGCGGCTCGCCATTCTGCGCAAATACACTGCCTACGGTCTCGATCATTGGGGCTCTGACACAGAGGTGCGGTGCCAAGTACTAAAGCTGACTTTTTGTCAGTGCATTAATCTAGAACAATTCTGAGCAATATAGAGGCAGGAATAATGACTGGTGTAATGTACAAGGTTTTTATTTTACATGTGCTCCCACAAAGCTTGCCAATCGATAAGTAATAAAAGCTAGTCAAATCTCAATAATTAGGACAGGCCTAAAAAATTTCTCAAATTAACCTGTGGACAAAATAAAACCCAATGAATGCGGCACTTCCAAGTAGCATCCATGATGTGTATCAGATTAGATCGCACAGTCCAAAGAAACAAGCTTCCACTGCAAGGTAACTCTTGTGTTTTATGACTCTTTGGGAAGCTAGTCTACAAGATTTCGCTCTGTATTCTTTTTTATTGCTGAGATACTTGCTCAAAGTTTTATGATGGTTGAAGCCACAGATGCAGTTGAAGTTTGCCCATGCTGCAGGCATGACTTGTTTTATATTATAGCATTTTCTACCTTAAGGCTCTGCCATAATTTGGTAATAAATGCTGTAAATATGCACTCTTGATGTTCAGTTTTTAATGATAGCAGTATAGGCCGTGTAAATGTGCTGAACTATTTTCGAATTTCGCCAAGGCACTGCGGAGTGCAGGGCCTACGCAACCTTGAACTGCTTTGGCAGTACTGTGCTGACAGGGCTGGATAACAGGGGACAAATGGCCCGCCAGGCAACATGTTTCAACACAAAAGAAAAAAATTGTATTGATAATGAGTATCTGGTTGATGCCTATTGAGCGGGTATGTCAATTTGCTGTTATCGCGTTGTACTTTTTAAGTAATTCAGTTTTTCAACTTTAAATGAGATTACCCCAAAACATGCTTTTTTGTACCTATGTTCTTTTTTTCTCAGCAACCATAGTATATAGAATCGTAGATTTCAGCCAGTATTTAGATAATGTAATAGAAAATATGCTAAAGCAGAAATATTAGTGTTTGAGGAAGTGCTCTTCTGCAACACGACATCTAATAGCTATTATTGAGTGATAATTAGGTACCTGAAGTAAAAAAAAGTTATCAAAAACGAGCAATATACTTTTCAGTGCTAAATCTGCTCAGTAAGTTAAGGAATGGCTCATCATCACAATGATAGTAAAATAATTGCTGTATCTCTTATGGCTGCAGAGGAAAAGGTGTGTAAACTTCGCGTAAAGTACATGGCCGGTATAAGGCTTACCCTGCTTATAGCTCTAACTTATTACTTAAGAGACAGTGCCTGAAATAACAAATATTTGTTTTGCTACTTGAGTACCCATCTCCATGACAATTTGCTGGCTCGACTTTCTGGGGTCATAAGAGCACTAGCGCAGAATGACACTAAATTTGCCAGTGTGGCCGAGGATGGTTTACCTGCCATGGGGGAGACTTGCTGGTGCATGAACAGTTAGCGGGGCTGGTGAGCACTTTTTCCATTGCAGGGTGTTGAACGGACACGAAGATTTCTCCTGGAGTGGCTGTCATTCCTCCACAGGTGAGCCTTCTCATATTTTTTTTGTCACCATGCAGCCATTGTAATGCAGAGCCTCATTCACTTGTTGTACATTGTAGAAACATACCTTAGTTAAACCTTTATATTGCAGTGTCAATGAAATGACCACTTTTTGGCTAACAGCAGTGCCAAGTTTTTGGCTAACAGCGAAATTTTACTATTCGTTATTGAAATAAACCTTTTATGCAAGGTATTTTTTATGCAAAGTAGAGTTACCAAGCAATCATTTCTTTCTACGCAAAAGGTGTCACACAAAAGAGTTGTTGAAATAAAAAGTAGTTTAAAAGGGCAACTTGAATAAAGTCAAATTCACTACGATGATATTGATCGGAGACTTAAGAAAATTCGTTTTTACTATAATTGCTAAATATGAGTCACAAAAATTGCTAGAAAGTTAAAGCCAGTTCGATGAGTAAACAGTAGAGCTGATCAGCAAGTACCACCATCTTGTTGACGCAAGGGGGAAGGGGGATTCCTTTTTCATCTTCCTCCTTTCATCCTTCTTTATCTCCTTCTACATCTTCCTGTTTCATTCAACATTTATCTCTTTCTACATGGCCCCCTCTCCTCTTTCTTACATCGCTATTCCTCACCCTTTCCCACCCCTCACAGATTCAAACGTAAGCTTAAATGTGCAATTTCGTGAGATAACCACGTCATGTTGCGACATATGGTCCCTAAAGATAATATTGGCTCTGATATGAGTCGAAACGGATCTACAGGTTTGTATATAAATGGCACCGAAACTGCAGGCGGTGAAAACGAGAATACTTGGTACTAAATTGTCCTGTTTATATCCGTGACATGGCTATGTTACCCTCTCACCTCCGCCTTGTCTTCCCTTTCACCCTCGCTTCCCTTTCCCATTCCAGTGTTATACCTCAATCGCTGGATAAAAATGAAGGTACAGCTAGTTGCGTGCCACCGAAACAGGCAGCTCGGGCCTTGATTTCTCGTGCCCGCTCTGGCACCAAAGCTTGACCCGGAGAAGCGCTTCCACATGCATTGACTCTAATCAGGCTGTAAATAAAACGTTTTGTAGTGGCACATCGCAAGTTTGATACTGAAGTTGTTATGAGAAGTACCTCTTACACCACATATGTGAACAGTCTGCCCTAAGAGTGCCAATCTTTCGTAGAATGGGCCTCAGTACTCTCCATGAATGCTGCTTGTTTGCCGCACCTGAAATGAAAAGTGTGACTAATCCTGTTAACGGGGAGCCAAAATGCACCACCAAAGCATGCTCACTTTAAATGTAGCTTCTTTCAGTGCATTAAAGGGCCCCTCACCAGGTTTGACAGTTTTGAGCTGACAAGCGCTATGCATAGACGAGGCGTTCATGATCACGTCTGCCAAAATTTGCAACGCTACGCACTTCGAAAATGGGTCAAATTTGAAGATGAACGCTGCTCCCCCTCCCTTCTGCCAGTGCATGCACAGAGAATGAGGGTATGACTGTGTGCGTATGAATGGCCCTACGTACACGGCAATGCAGTGACGTTGGTCCTCTGCGTAGACAACTCTGCTCTGACGTTGCAAACAGTGGCACGTAACATGGCAAAAATTATTTAACACGGCATATGCAGTTTATGTAATTTGTTGCTTGAAGAGAATAATAAAGCTCTAGATAAATAATGAGATGCAATAAGGGAGAGTGAGCGTCTTTTTTCCATTTTTCTCCCGTGAATTGCATTGAGATGTGGGGCTAATGTGTCGGCGTTTCGCATGCGTTCGTGTTTCCGCAATCAGCGCATCGAGCAGACGACCGCCGTGGAACGCTCCTACGCGTTCGCGCACCCGTTTTGCTCATCTATTCTACCGTGTCTAAGCCAGCGTTTCTAAACCATCCCACAGAAACAAGCGAAAGACCACAAAATAACGCTGGTCAGCAAAGCAACGCCGCTCGCGTGCTCGGGGGTTGGATTTGTTGGGGCACTTCATGCGCACGTGACCTCTTGGTCGGATGCCGGAGAGGGTGGGGAAGAGAGTTAGCTTTCGAAGGCTACGCGAAAGAGCGGCAAGGGTTTCGAGCTCACCTCTTCTCATTCTTGTTGCGCCCCGCTTCAAAAAACCTGCTTTCTCTGCTCGTGATGAACTGATTCAAAAAATCTTTGTGGCGAAATGTTCGTCATTGGACACCCAACAATTTCCACTGTCTAACTAAAGTTTGGTATGGGGCCTGGTGAGTGGCCGTTTAACACTAGTTTTGTTCGAGATACAGAGTTAAAACAAAAGTTCACAACTTAAATAAAATGCTTCTTGAGTTATGGCAGTACAAGCATCACTAAAAAGAACCAAAGCTAGCAGTCAGCAGTCATATCAGGCGCATAGTCGTTTGAAGCTCCTTAAGTTTGAGGCTTGTCCATTGCCATTGGCATCGTTGTGCACCGTAGCCGCCACTGACGAATATGCTGATGACAGTGAACAGGTGCATTCCAGACAGCACCTGGTTCACAGACAAAACAAAGAAATTGATCATATATGCTGTTGACCCTAATCCTGAATGCCGATTAGATTGCCATCTCCCAAGGCATATCGACACTCTTATACACCGCCTAAGACTCGGAACTAACGCAGATTATCTGCGTTAGACTGGACTAACGCAGATAATCTTGCCCTTCAAACAGACCTGGATCACATTTCATCATGGTGCGACGCATGGTTAATGAAGCTAAACGTTACTAAATGCAAGGCTATGCGAATTTCCCGTTGTATTTCTCATAATGTACCGTGCGACTACACACTTAACCACAGCAATCTCGATCTGGTTTCGTCCTACAAGTACCTAGGAGTATATATTTCTAACAATCTCTCTTGGAACACGCATGTAGATTATATTACAAACAATGCGAATCGCACATTAGGTTATCTGCGCAGAAACTTTTCTTTGGCTCCGACTAACCTTAAACTTCTGCTTTATCAAACATTAGTCCGACCCAAACTCGAGTACGCGTCATCAGTCTGGGATCCACATACCAATTACCTCGCTGACAGCATCGAGGCGGTTCAAAATCGCTCGGCACGTTTTGTCATGTCAAACTACCATCGCACGTCCACTGTTACCTCGATGAAAGCCAATCTTCACTTACCCACTCTCTCACTGCGGCGTAAAATATCTCGCCTTTGCCTGTTCCATAAGATCTTTCATTGTATTCCGTCTTTTAGCAACACTTTTCCAGCCCCCATTGTACGTTTCCTCACGCAACGATCATCAGTTTAAAGTGGGCGTTCCTAGCGCCCGCACGAATTTATATTTTGAATCATTCATCCCGAAAACTGCAAATGAGTGGAACCACCTTCCCACCCCTATCGCTGCTATCACTGACCTCACTTTGTTTAAAAACGCCCTCTCTAACCATTTCGCGTAAATTCACCACTTAAGTCACGCTGTGTTTTCTCTTGTTAGTTTTTTGTGTGCGCGTGTCATTCAAAGACGCAACCATGTTGAACATTGTTGTTACAACCACCCTGCCTCTTCTTCACATCACGCAGTCTTCCTTTTCTTTTATGGTTGTCAGATCGCCATTGTGCGCATATAATTTTGATTTGCTGTATTTCCTGATTTTCTGTACGATGTATACCCGCTCCTCTCTGTAATGCTTCGGCCTTGAGAGTAAATAAATGAAACTGCTTACACAAAACACTTCCTACTTCGGATACAGTGTGCAACATCGTCAGCATGTTCATGCGGCTAGGATGACGAAGATATCTATCATCTGTTGCAAAATTGTCCACAAAACACGGCACACTCGGACGGCGAGTCGAACAGAAGTTTCATACGCAAGATCCCGAGCTGAATGTTTGCGTTGGATAAAATACTAGGCCTATGGCCATCTAAAATGCATCGCAAAGCAATGAAAGTGCTACAACGTTTTTTATAAAAAACAAACATTGGCGGAAAGGTATCTTCATGGGCCAGGTGGTACATACTACTGAAGGGAACAGCGCAAAAAATGGCACCGAGAAAGAATGAACACATGAGACAAGCACTGACGAACTACTTTCAGTAAATTTATTACACTGGGAAATATATACCTGAAAACAGAAAACAAAAAGACCTTCACGTGCAACAAGGGTGAAAAGCAAAGCCAACCTGCCACGAGTTGAAATGTTCAAGTTAACCACTCAAGAACATTATCTATTTTTCCAGGAGGGCGAGTGAATGCTCCCTGATACACATCTTTTATTTTTTTTACCAATGTGACCAAGAAACGTTGTATATAACTGAAGGCATGACTAATAATCATTGTACTATATAACTGTACACCACTTGGCCTTCATTTGCATGAATGAGGGGTCACTGTCAGGTGAGATTTATGGGAATACTGATTGATCCAACTACTTCGCCCTCTCATAGTCATTCACTTCGTGGATACGCCGTGATTCTTGTCTTTGGGCTGTTTACTTCTATTTATTTCTTCCCATCTCTCTTTTTATTTATTGCTCTTTTTTCTGTGTCTATTTCTTGCTTGGTTCTCTTCTCTCTCTCTCTTTCTGCATTTGTTTCGCTCTTGTTCATTCCATCTACGCTATGCTTTACTCTCTCCTTTTTCTGCTCCTCATCACCCTTCTCTGTCGCTCTGTTTTTCATCCTCACTTTCTGTCACTTGCTTACTTTGATTTTTCTCTGTGTCATTTACTTCTTTTTTTTTCTCTGTTATTTTCATTCTTTCTGTTCCATTCTTTACACTCTCTTCCCTCCCCTTCAGCCTCACATGTCACCCTTACTTCCCTATCCCACCACCACCTTGTTATACTATTTACTGTTACTTGAGAAAATAGGTGCTGGATCCTCGAGGCGGTCGGTAAAATATATTGATACAGAACAGCCGCCGCAGCCTTGCTGCAGAAAGAGAAAGATGACGACAGTTACTGGTTGTTGTTGGACTGGTAGCATCTTATTCACCCAGTCCTTCGATTAGTTAAATAACCTACCCGCAACATTATTAGTGGAGGTGCACGACTCCTGTACCTTGATGGAG